GTCACCCGCTCTTCTCTGTCGACTTCGCCCTCCCTTGCAATAGGGGACCATGTCTCGAGCTCGGCGATTCCGACTCGTCAAGTCATGCACCGTCATGGACTTGGGACCGAGATCAGCCTTGACTCGGAGGACTCACGAGATTTCGATCCCTTCTTTCCCGCCTTCGACGACTTCCAAGCTTCTGACTCAGTCTTTTGGCAGGCCCCAGCCCCAGCTACATGTACACATCCCAGTCAGACGTCCCAGATAGCTGGGTCGGTGCCTCATCCCGCCTTTTCTGGAGCATCTCTTCCTGAGCCGTTCTTTCTTGTCAGCCATGTGCCGTTTGGCCACTTTGCCCGTAGGTGCACGTCATGCTGCCCGTCAACAAGCCCTGTTCCCTGTTTCTCCTTGACCGATCCTCTCGGTGATCACCGCACAAGCAATATGCTTGAACAGACCCGAGGGCCGAGTCTCAACACTGACATCGTTCAGATCGCCCTGCGTCTCACCCTTGGATCGCGACCAACGGCTCGTCCATTCAGTTTGGGGATCCTGCACGAAAGGCGGTCCTCCCGGCAGCCCTCGAAGGAGTCGTTGCCTTTGAGTCCAGTCTACCATCCAAAGACACGCGCCGGGCCGCCCGAGATCTGTTGAATCCTTTTCAGGATAATGCTGTCGAGAGGATTCCAGCCTTGAGCAGACCACGCACCCTAGAAAATGGCGAGGTCAACGGATATATCAAGTGTCGCTTCCACGGCATGCGGCTTCGTTCTCCGCCTCGGACCCTGTCCACTCGGACCAGCAACGGTGCTCGCCAGGCGTCACAAGGCCGCCTAAGCCTTCATCGACGCGGGCTCGGGCTAGCATGCCAACCACGACTTCCCACCGTGGCGCCGCATGCTTTGGCAAAGCCTACCCCTAAATCATATGCACCAACAACATTCAAACCAGTGCTTCGAACCGCTGCAGTAGATCCGCCATCCTTGCTTGAGGAGCACATTCAACGGCTACCCCATGACTTTGGCCAAGACTTGAAACTGAGCCCGGCCGACTGGCAATTTTTCGTCTTTTGTAAGTCCTGAAATGTCACACCAAGCTCAGGAAACCAGGTCTAAGAGTGGTTCAGATCGCAATGCATGGTGTTCCGGGAGAGCAATTTTGGATGCCACCAATTGCTGGCTCGTCAATATTATCCAGATGGCTCCCAGAAGCCAGGCTGTGCTTCACGCCATGTTAGCACTTGCCGGGACCTACGTTCTCGACTACTTGCCTGATGAGCGTGTGAGGCAACGGTCTAATGCACATTATAATGCTGCCGTAGGACTTCTGACGAAAGACTTGCGAGAAGAGGCAGAGCAGAGACCCGGCGGCGGCGAGAGCATAGTCGCAGCCATCGCTCTGCTGAATATGCTAGACGTCGTATCGCCTGAACGTCGACGCTCCAAAAAGGAGGTTCCCAGATGGCTGGAAGGCGCCCAGGTTGCATGCAAGGTGCTTGATGTTACTGACCCCGGTCACCGATACTGGCACGTCAACAACGTACAGCCCTCCGATGCCCGAGTCGCCAACACTGTCATCACCAGTCGAGCTGTGGTCCTTGCCCTCCCCATGACGCGCTTGAACAAGGCTAGCTCGGACAGCACGCACTTCCAGTGGCTCCTTCTGCAAAGTACGGAGGAGAACAGCCGCAAAATCCACGGGGCTTGCGGCTGTGCGCCTCGGCTTCTGCATAGGTTTGCCCTCATCACTCACCTTGCTGCCCTGATCGAGGAAGAGCCAGAGTCCATCGTCCTCCCGGTCGGGGCCGATGCCGTTGCTGAGGAACTCAATGAATTCCGTCAGTGGTCCGAATTGAATCGCGAAAGCCACAGCTCTGTAGAGGCGCTCCTCCGTAACTGCGACCTGCAGCTTAACCCTCAAGGCATTGTCACGAACAAGGCCAGCATGACCGACCTTACCGCAGAAGCTTGGCGGCTGGCAGCCATTATCTATCTGCACTGTCGACTATCGCGACTACCACGTTCGCATCCAGACGTTGTTAAACAAATGACATACCTTGCAGCTTGCATCAGGCGCATGCCGACCTCAGGACCGCTATTCACTGCTCAGGCCCCTTTCTTCCCTGTATTCCTGCTGGGGCTTCTGGCTGTGCACCCTGATCACAAGCTCTGTGCTGAAGGCTGGTTTCAGTCGGTGATACGAACATCTTGCCGATCGGTAAGTGTAGATAATCTGACATGCCGCCGTGGGATAGTAGCTAAAGACGCCTAAACAGAGCGTCCCTCCAGCGTATGAGGCGTTACAACGCATTCGAGATTGGATGAAAGATGAGATAGTTGACGATGATGTCGAGATACCCGAGAGTATCGCCTTGCGATCTCCATGGTGGGAAACAATGGTGGCACGGGTCACCGAGGAAGAAGGCATCCTCTGCCTCATCTGAATCTACTTCCTCCGAAGGTCTCATGAGGCTTTTTGGATTGAGTCTCATTCTCATTGATCCCGGTCTTGACTCTGTTCAAGAGCCTCTTCTATACCTATATACTCTCCTGGGAGAGATCGTCGTCGTGTGGTCATGATCCGAGACCGGGGGCTGATAATCTGAAGCGTGTCTACGGTTTTCCTCAACATTTCTTCCCAGATACCGCCACCTCCGATTCATTCCCCGACCGGTAGCTCGTCGTCAGCAGCTTGGAATAGCCCAAAGGACTACTGCATGTCACTGATGGCAGAGTCAGCAGGTGAGCCCGCTCGGCCTTTCTTCCGGAGCAGGTACTGGTCTGTGTCATGTCAGCATTCCGGACAGTCTATCAATCGAGACCAGGGTGTCATAGTATTGATCTGAAGAGGGTGTTGGGGGGCAAGGGGTTCACATACACATCTCCGAGCCAGGGGCCTTCCAGACCTTGAGGACCTCCAAATTGGCAAGGCCGCAAAGCTGGCGGACCCTTTCGACGCCATTCTTGTGCGCATCGAACCAGTCCATCTCGCACCCCGAGTGTAACATCCGACCCTCGCCAATGTCAATATCACGGCGGGCGCGGAAGAAGAAACGGTGGCGGCATTGCTCCTCATCAAGCTCCGCACATGTATCCCAATCGTCAGGCTTGAGGATATCGCCACCAAGCAGGCGGTTCGCGTGCTCAAATCCGTTGGCCCAGAATCGGGCAAAGAGGTCCTCGTGGGCGTGGTAGGCAGCCCAGATCTTGTCGCGATGGTCGGCGAGGGTGTGTCCATCCATGCCGGCAAGAATGATATCCGATTCCTGCAGCAGAGAGGCCCACTTCTGGAGAGAGGTGAGGGCTGTCTGAAACTCGTCGTTGAAGAGGACGGAACCAAGAGAGAGGAGTACGCGTGGTGTGGAGGGCGGAAGGGCGGCGACAAATGCATAGCCTGCAGAGAAGTCGCCCCAAAGGCCGGCGGTCAGGACGCGTGAGTGCTTGGTTGACAGCGTCTCAAGATTGAACGAAAGAGAGGCCTGGGAGATGTCTAGAGCGAGGTAGGTCGTCTTGGACTCGCGTTGCTCAAGCTCGGCCAGGAGGATGCCAACTTTGCGGAGGTCGCTGTATCATGTCAGTTTGTTTTGTATGCAACGGCGCTGGGGCTTTGATTTAGGGTTTCTGAAGCATTAAAGACCGAAGGTCTTGGAAGCATCTTGAATCCTGCGGCGGTGTGTGGACACGAGAACGAGAAAAGACAATGAAGACTCAGTCGGGAAAAGGGGGGAAGAACGTACCCAGCACCCAGATCGACCATGACAGATTCCTCCGGGATATGTTTGGCAATCTCAGGACTGTTGGCCTCGAAAAGTTTCATCTCGTCGGTGGCTTGATAGTTCTCAGGCGTGAAAATGATCTCGGCCCAGATGGCGAGCCCCTTGTCATCGTACAGGAGCTCATCGGGAAGAACGATGGGGCTTCCTTCAGGGGTGTCGTAGAGGGCGTCACGAAGACGAGTCAGGATCGCAGCGCCCATGGCCGAACCTCCAATGTCGATGACAGCACCATGGGTGATGTCCGCACCGATGACGGTCTGCGTCTTCTCCTTCTCAGACATGGCGATTGTATAGTGTGGGGACGGTGTTCGCTAAGGGTCCAGTGCTGATGATTTGCTAGTTTACGAGGCGAATGTGAGACAGCGTGAAGAAGATTTGGTTGTTTTGTTCAATGTCTCAAGGAGTAATCGTCGAGCAGAAGGAAGTCTGAGTTGGGTTCTTTCCATGGATCGTGAAGCTTGGTGTGCGGTGTGAGAAAAAGGTCCTCATGTAGGCCGTCTTTATAGGAACAGAAATTGATAGTCCGAGGTGAATGCGGGATCCCATTGATTCATGCTTCTTGGTGAATGTCTATCCCATCCAAATCAAAGGTATATGGTCGTTGGGGGGGCGAGATGCCGTGCGGACAATGTGATGGAATGTCAGTTGCACAGTTGGTCGCGTCACTCCAGTGAAGACGATGCGCGTGTCGCGGTGAATGAGTGTCTGATAACGACCCGCTCAGCAACGGCACCGGGACTTCGCTTATACGCCAGGGGAGTTTGCAAAATTCGTGAATGCTCCAAGATGTTGGAAGATTAAGGGAATGTTACGTCGTGGGATAGCGAGATATTTATGACTTTGACGTCCATGTTTGTTGAGGAAGGCTGAGAAGAGCCTCTTGACACTTGCTCTGAGTTTGTCTCGCCTCCCACCCCCTCCTCCTCCTTTGACCCTCTCCGCAATGGTTTATTCGACATAACAGACGACCGGCCCTGTCAGCATAGCCATGTCGTTCTGGTTCACCGTCGGAGCTGCAGTCCGCTTCCGGGCTATAGACGGGGCCAATAACTCGTAGAAGAAAGTATGCAGCATGCGCCAAGGTGGCCAGTCAATCAGCCTTGCCTTCTCCAACATGATGCCCCGGTATCCCTGCTCCTACCTCCCCCTTCGTGTGCCCAGCTTGCGGACCACCCTACGATCGCCATGAAGCCCGCCCCCACCACTGACGACAGGTAGGGCGATGACATGCCGCACGATAGGAACAGGGTCCCTCTGTCGTCCTGATCACGGCGCCAGCCGTCCTGTGGCTTGAGATTTATCATCACACACCAAGACGCCAGCCAGCAGCGCCGTGGTCACCCGACTATCATCGGAGAAAATATGTGAAGGATCGTGCCGCCTCCGCCCCCCCCCCCCCCTTTCTGCTCGTGCCGCTATCAAACAACTTTTCTCTCTCAGAGACACGGCCGATCTCTACCGCCGGCTGCGAATCGGAGTGTGCCGAGTCCTTGGTGACAGATAGTCCCTGCGCGGGGGAAAGAGGGGACCGTCGTCAAGGCACAATCTGGGAGCCCTGCGGGACCACGAGGTCACACCATGTCGCGCGCACCACGGTTCCCAAGAACTGGCCATTGGCCACCCCACCTACGAGACTGGTTCTACCAAGGGACGGGCTGCGCTTGAGCCAGTGGCAGCGGGCTTGATCAGGCGGCAGCATGGGTTGGATCAAATTCTCCGGTCAGATCTCACATGGTATACACGCAAAGCACAAACCAGTCCTGCGAGATTGACTTTGCGCGAATTGCCGTGTGCCAACCTGGCTCGCTGGCAATCAAAGGCGGCGTACCGTCCACGACCAACACGTAAGAGATTGGGGGGCGGGGGGAGACAATCGGTAGGAATGAAGAACTTGAACGATTCCATCACAGTCAACCTCTCCTCAACCACAGGCTGCTTGGGGATGCGGTCAATCCGGGATCTCAGTTGGAAAGCAGAACTGAAGAGGATCGGCCCTGCAACGTAGATCAAGCGAGCAAGTGGCATGTCAGAACAAGAAAATAAAACAACCCACGGAACTGGAGACGCGGATTCCAGGAAGACATGTTCGGGGTTTTGCACGGACGGTGCTCCGCCAGGCTTGCCAGTCGTTCGCTGGCGGACCTCCACGTCGGCTGGCAGGGTTCTTTTCTCCGTGACGCGTGGGGTGGGTGGTTTCTGCTCGGCTAGAGCGAATGGATCCTGGAGTTAGGTATCTGCAACGGGTATCAGTGCCAGCGCCACCAAACGAACACACATTTCTTTTGGTGTCGTCTGGGCCCCCTTTCCACCAGGCATAGACGACCAATGTTGCCCGGTCAAGTCAGATGACGATATCACATGCGCACATGCGCTCCGCGGCCATGGAACCAGACAACCCGAAAAGCCTGGGGGCCTTCTTTCGTTCACCGCCTGGCTCAGCGTGTTGACCGAGAAGCTGCCTCTGACGTTGGAGGTCTCCTCTACAGCAGAGACCGAGAAGACGAATGCGACCGTGTGGCGCTGCGATTAAACGGCCCTCATGACGACTGCAGCTTCGTCTGCCAACGCCAAGCCATCTCAGTTGTGCCATGGGGGTGTCAAGGGCGTCCAGGTGCAGCTCGTGTCGCAACAGCAGCAACAACCTTGAAAGATCCAGACCCGACTTCTGGGAGCTCCATGCCCCCTCTCGATATCCTGGACACGGCTTCTCTCCCCAATGGACAGCAGCGAAGGATGTGTGTGACCAACGTTGCAAGCTGCGTCTCTTGCTGACTGACTTGGACAAATCAAGGCGTCCTGACCCATGTCGACATCTGCGGATGGCGAGCCGGGGGACAACCTCCGCCTTTTAGCGTCGATAGCGTCGATATCTAGATTAGTCGACATGTCTCCCCTGTCGCGTCAGTCTGGGTCTCTGGGACATGCTGCTCGGATGCTTGGCTCGACCGGTGAGAAGTGCCAGTCTTCCGGGGGCGGGCAGGTCACACCAAATCGTCCCCCGCATCCCATTGACCACAACACCGCCCCGTATCGCTCAGCAGACGGGAGGTTGAACCTCGATGGCCATCCCGGACCGAGGGGACGAGCATCTGGATTGTACGTAGAGAGAGAGCCTCAAAGCCGTGACACCGACCCGTCAAGTCGCCTTAGTCAGGGTGACATCCCAGCCCCGGAAGCCCGTGCCTCTCTCTCTCTACCTGTGCCAACGTGCCCTCGGAGAATTCTTAAGGTCGGGGGAAACGGTAGGGCCATTCGGACACTTGGGCCACGGCATCGTGATCCCTGAGAGTCAAGGGTGCGGAGCTCTCGCCAGGTGTAGCGACCCTTTCGCATCGACGGGACCCCTACCGATCAGGGTGGAACGGTGGAATTGGCCGGCTTGATTCATGTTGACGCGATGCCGTCGGTTTTCGGAGCAGCTTGGCAACGACTGGCCGGGGGTTCCCTTCTCTTTCACCCAACAGTGCCTTTACTTGAGACGTTCAGGGTTCTGCGCGCTGGCACTCGAATCCTGCCTCGGAGGGCGCCATGACTTACAATGCTTCGGAC